CCTTTTTATTGAAAAAGATTTTAAAAGTATTTAAAATAATTACCCACAAAGGAAACAAGACATCTTCACTCCAAATATCGCTGTATTGTGTGTCTTCAAATATATGGTTAATTGTTTTATTAACATTTGAAAGTATATTACGAATCATAAAAGTGCTTTAGAAATAGCAATATATGTTATTTAATATTCTGCAAAATTATTCTGATCTGCCAATATATAATATATAATGTGTTTGTATTCAAAAATGTATAATTCCCAACATATACGCAACAGCACATAGCTTCGTGTTACCTGAAAACTGATGGTACTTACTATCGTTCAAAAAACCGTTTAATTAAAGCTACGTCAACACGGTCAATGACTAGAGAGATGAAATACCTGTGAAGGGTTATATCAAAAGTTACATTTATATATATATATATATATATATATATATATATATATATATATATATATATATATGTAAGCAAACAGATAAAGAAAGAAAATCATTGACATTTATTGACAAGGTATATGTAAATTTGAAGATTACATGAGAAAGCAGAAGATATAATTTACTACCCACCAGGAAAATCTACACTTGCCTAAACAACCTCCAAGTTGTCATTTAGTAAAAAAATTGATCTAATGCTCGAATCGCCATTCGTAATTGAAGCGCAGCAGGGGGCGGCGCGGATTGGCGGGAGTTGATCGGCGGGATTGGCGGGAGTTGATCGGCGGCGGCGGCGGCGGCGGAAGGCTCAGAAACAAATGGACGCGAGGGGTTCCCTTGCATACATCACCCTGGACGCGACCGGTAGCGCTCGCGGATTGAATTACTTTCCGCGCAGTCGCGATCAGTGCTAGGAAATTACGTTTCATCGATTCGTCTTGCATAATGAAGGGAACATCTAACAGATTGTATTTTGGCCGCCGCCATCAAGGACCGCGGGCTACGCCCCGCCAAAGAGACAGATCGCGCTGGAAACCGTTCGCGGGCATTGACAAGGGCGATTGTGAACTGATAATTATAATGATATATTTCCAAGCTCCAGGCGCAGAGAGAGAGAGAGAGAGAGAGAGAGAGAGAGAGAGAGAGAGAGAGAGAGAATGGAGAGAGCGGGCGATGCGGTGGAGGGTGGTAAATAAAGGTCCGCCTCGACGGGCGGCAAAAAGACAATCTGTGCGGGGCGTTGGACGAGAGCGGGTAATTCGCACGAGCTGCGTGGAGGCGGACGGTGGCGGGCGGGGGGGAGAGCAACGGTGGTGGGAGGTGAGGGCGTGGGAGAGGAGGAAAGGGCCTCGATGAGGCCGGACTGCGGCGACGAAAAAAAGCGGGCTTTTAAGAGCCGGTGCCCGTGGAGGCAGCTGGGGACGGCGTCAGGCAAGCAGGAAGGAGGTGCCCGGTTGAGACCGATGACTAAAGGCGATGGTATGTCAAGAAATACGTGGAGATGGGAACACTCGTAAAATGTGAATTCATGATACACTGGGAATGATAAAGGCCAAGAGATAGAATGGATGGGATGTGTTTCTTTTCTCTTCTCTATTTAGTGTCGATATTTATACTAGAGTCACTACAAAACAAAAGTTCGTCAGAAAAGAAGAAGGGACTAATAAGGAAGTATTTGGCTTCTATTTAAAGTAAATCGCTTAAGTAGAAATCTGAGAACGAATATCTTCGTAAGAGTTAATTAGGCTTAATGATTCATCAAAAAACAAATAAAAAAGTGAAAATAGTAAAAAAACAGTCCATCACCTCTACGGTATACATACGACAGCATTACAAAAGTAACAGTTGTCGAATAGTACATTGAATTAATAAGAGACAATGTAAAGAAGTGCAAAATGCAAAGGAACGTAAAATAAAATTAAATAAAATAAATGAATAAATTAATATAAAAGGAATTAATGATAATTACATGTAGCTACAGAGGTAGAAAAAATATTAACTGCCATCATTAACAATGTTGTACGATGCATTGATAAAAAGTATTTGAACCTGTAACGAAAACATATGGAATAAAACATGGCATTTTTTTCACTTTATTCCACGACACACATTTACAAATCACTCTTGAATTTATTTCAAATAGAATTAATAATATAATGAATATTTTTTTATATTTTAATACTGAAAGGAATTTGCACATTCTAACAATTAATAAACGAATTGTATTATATTCATAACTCTATTGTGCCTGAATATCTGAAATATAACTTTCTCATATTTATTGCAAACATGCTATTAACAAGAAAGAAATGAAATAGTTTACGTTTGGCGTCAAATATCTTTTATTACTAAAGTTATGCACAGAGCTAGAGAAGGGGTACACCCGACATTTACATCTCATAATTTTTTTATCTATCAACAATTTTTACTTGGTGAAATTAAGTAATATGTTACGTTAAAATACCTTTCCGTCATTTTCTTCTCTTTACAGATTTTTTTATCAATATGATCAACGCGACGAGCATTAATTGTTTTAAGGACAAGCAGCGTCTGCAAAGCGTCCTGCATGGCGAAAGGAATTCCTTTCGGTATATTTAATATTAATATTTAATTGGATGGAAAAATTATCGACGCAATATTCTCAGAAAAACTCGAGGTAAGCTCAGAAAATCTGGACCTTAAATTTCAGAGCAAGCAAATACCACACAAAGATACCATTCATATGAATTTGGTGCACAATTTAATGACACATTCATGAAACCATCACATTTCGATACTAATTCTGGTTGGAATAAAGTGACAAGAAGCTATGAGTCAATCTGTATCATGCGATGAAATATAACAAATGAAGTTTCTAATGCTGCACATCATTTCACGTACGGACTTGATCTTACGGATTTTTAAAAGGTTGAAATGGTAGAAGACTTATCAACACAGGTTTAAATGATGTGTGTTACTTATAGTTAGCATTACTGAAAGAAAAGCCACAATGATCCCTAGTACCATTGTACCTAGCACACCAAATCCAGTCCTGACTCCAGTGGCAGTCGGCGCGACGAGCAGCTTTAACCTTGCGCGATGGCAGAACGCCCTGGGCCGGGCTGGGCATGCCCACGCCGCGCCTTCTCCGCGCCCCGCGTGCCAGCAGCCTCCACGCCGGGGTTTTATTTCTTTCGCTTTGTGAGGCAAACTCGAAATCAATAAATATGAGTTTTAGATATCACAAAAGTGCGTGATTTATATAACGCCCTTTTCTATATAGACAGTCGCCCGTATATATTTTGGAGATAATAAATTGTGTCGCCTCCGGCCGACCGCCCCACCGGGGAGATATTCGGCGGGATCATCCGTGTGCCGGCTCCAACTAGCACGTCTCTTTGATAGCCCGGGGAGACGTGCGACCGCCCCCTGCCCGGCAGGAGGAACGAGGAGGGGAAGGGGGAGGGGGGTCCTCGGCCGTTTGGCAAATTCTTTTACGGGGCCCCGGCGCTGCGATTTATTCGCCACTGCGGCGCGGCGCAGCGGTGGCGGGGTGGCGTCGCCCGCCTGCCCGCCCGCCGCGGATAATGTCGTTACGCGCGTTTCCATCCCCATCTCCGAATCACCGGCCTTAACTTATCTTTCGCTGCGCCCGACGCGCCGCCGCCGCCGCACTTGGAATATTCGCCTATAACACGAGGGATATTCCTTTTTATGCTCCTGCGCCAAACACGTCCCTGCGGCACGCCGACTGTTCAAATATTCCCTATCGTTTCGCGAACGGGGTGGAGGGGGAGGGGGAGAGAGAAGGAGGGATTCTAGTAAAAGTGAACTTTTGCGACATGCGGTTGCCGTTACGGAGAACATGCTCCAGTTAGGGTGTATTTCTGGAGAGAAATGTTTCTAAAAACGGATTTATGCGAGACAGCTCGCAAGGTTGTTCATACGTGCTTAACGTTCATTCATAACACATATTCCTAAACGTCATTACGTATTAAAACATAAGTATACCAAAATTTACGCCACACCGTTCAGAAATCAAGCACACTAATCAGGTATCGGGTAGACCAATCAGAAATTTTAGTAGAAATGTTTAGTCGAATTTATACGTAATCTGCCTGAAATGAAAACTTCAGTAATAGAAAACCTTATTTTTACTAACACGTTCGTTCAACTGTTTCTATTTCAGGGCTCTAGATTCCCATCTTAATCAATGCTGGGTTGGCGTGACTCCGTGATTTCATTTCATTATTAAGGAGTGATGTTTGTCGCCGTATATAACGTAGGATTTCATTGCTAAAGGTGTGATAATGTTTGCTTTAAAATACTTAAATTCGTAAGAACGTTTCTATTGTTTCCCGATGTAATATTTAAATAATAAAATGCGATGAATTTTTAATCTTATTTTTATGCATTTATAAGACGCTATTTGGAAGGCCATCGACAATGGATGTTTAAATTATAAAATTCTTGTAAAAATTAAAAATGATCGCAGAGTATGGTATTATCATTTAAAAGTTGGTAGCTCACTTCCATGTGAGCAACATAATTTTGTAAGAAGTAATCCGTGTTTGTATTTCGCCGTTGTTATGCTCAATATTCTTGTTATGCATTATTTTGTATGATGTTTTACAAATTTAATTGATTTTATGTCCACAACTTGATTGTATAATATTTTATTATTAAATTTTTTGAAAAAGACCCCAATCAAAATCCAATCAGGTCAATTTAATATTCTTTGAAAAAATAAGATCGCAGTTTCTTTTTTTTAAAAAAGAACAGAATATTTTTACAGCAAATTAATTTAGGTTCTATTATCGTCAATCTGGTTAATTAACACCTTAAGTTATCGTGGTGCTGAAATGATAGTTTAGTAATTCATTATGTGTTTCAAGTTTATTAGAGACTTTCAGATTTACATAACAGACTTAACATACAATTTTTTCAAAATATTCTAAAATGATCTGTCGAAAAATAGTTACTATCAACTCGTTTTGTCAAATTGAATTAAAAGAGTTTTAATTATATACCTAACTAGCCCCCCACTCACACACACACACACATACACAACAAATATTTTCGAGAATTTACTTAGAATGTTCAAGGATTCGAAACAAATTATTCCCCACATCTAGATACACCGGCGTCAAAGACCTATTGAACAGAAACAATCTGGTTACCCAACTGCTGTATGTAGAATATTCAGTTATTTATATTCTACTTTTACCTTCATTTATCATTCAAAATCCAATGTAATTAACCTCGTAACAAGATTCTTTGCACTTTAAAACCACACACTTATTTTATTCAGAGCTAATATTTATGTCAATAAAACATTCAACCATAAAATGAATCTCTCTTCTTTAAAGAGCAGCATCGAAACAATGAAAATGTAGGTGTTTCTCTTTAAATTTCTTCGAGCCAAACGACTGTTCGTGAAAAATCCGTTACTCAGTCCGGAACATCGTAACTCAGTTCGATTCTCTCAGATATCAAACACGCAAGATGGCTGCTTCCAGAATAACCTAGAATTCCGGCGGGCGCCAACGCCTCCACTGTGGGTACAAACACCCGAAGAAAAAAACAATGATGGCAAGACAGGTTTAATATTGATGTAATTGTACGGAAAGCTAAAGCAACATAATAAATAAAATATAAATGTTGTTCAAACAATTTTCTAGGGTATCAGATAATATCAAAAATGTTGATATAAGCATTAAATTATTGAAACAATCAAACAATTTAATCGCTAAATATTGGAAACAGTTTTATGATATTATGGCATTTTTCAAATATTGGGAAATCTTAAAAGTTTAGTGCTTTTAAAAGTTACATATCGTAAGTATGTGGCTCGTAGAATCTGTCAAATTCCAAAGAGTGATTAAAGTTGAAAACAAAGAGTTGATTTCCCAATATAAAAGGACCTAAAATGAAAGAATAAACTGGTTCAAACTATTAGTTGTTACGTACTATAAAGAGGCTGTCCGAGTTGAGAATTTTTTTGAATGGCATTGCACTATAAAGCAAACGAAAGTAGAAATGCACGTAGAAATCGTAGAGTATGGCTTGAAATGGAAAAGGGGAATTTGATGAAGAAGCTCACTCATAAAAGAGTAGAGTATATACCTGCAATCAATTACAAAGCACATTAAACCGATACGTATACATTGTAGCCTTAAAATGGGTATCTTAATCAAGTAACTATTAATGTTATAGATCTTATTAAAACAATGTTTTACCGAATCTAAAATCAATTTCAAAAACTAAGTACCATAGCTATGTATACTATATACATATATTTATATAAGGACCTGAAATGAAATAACAAACTGGTACAAACTATTAGTTGCTACGTACTATAAAGAAGCTGTATATGAGAGAGAGAGAGAGAGAGAGAGAGAGAGAGAGAGAGAGAGAGAGAGCACTCCTTTATTAAGAATGTTCTAAAACGTTCTGTTTAATTGGCGCATCCCTTTCACATACACAAGCAACGTCGTGTACAATGAGCCGTGCACTATTTCCCACGCAGTCCAAACCGCCGAGTGTCGCGGGGCCACCCGTCCCCCGCGAGGCGCAAGCACATCAAACACACGGCGGGATCCGGCTGGCTGGGAGCAAGCGCTGCGGCAGCGGCGGAGGCAGGGG